TCACGTATAACTTTTGCATTCTTAGGAATGCACCCGATTCCTCACACAGATTATCCTAGTGTACCGTAAGCTATTCGATGGCGGGTTGAGTGAATTCAACTTTGACTCGATGAGGTAGTCTTTATGCCTCGCGACAACAGCGGCGATCACCGCGGTCGCAGGTACGCGAATGAGCGCGCCCCATCGCCATTAGTTGGACCCCCCATTTTACCAAATAGTAATTCCAACTTGTGCGACCTCTTTTTCTTAATGTGGCTGCTAACTCAAAACTTAATGATATCAGGAGGACAAACACGGGGTAGAGGGTTTGACCTTCCCTTTTCCAACACGAGGTAAGGGCAACTTCATTTCCTAGGTGAGCTTCTTTTTGGTTCTTTTTTCATTGTTCCAACTGCTATAAATATTTTTGAAATCTCCTACTGGCTGAAGTTCTAACTTCTAAAACATTTCTAGTTTACATTTCGAGTTAAAACAACCAAAAACCAAAGAGAGACTCACCTAGGTGGAACTGCGGTATGTACGCAAATATCGTAAGATAGACTGTGTTGGCCGTAAGTTCAGCGCTTCTCCATGTCGGCAGCTGTGAAGCCGGAGAATTAAACGTTCATTGTGTTAATAGTTGTTTTCTTCCGTATCCAGTTCTTTTTTTCCAGAAGTTCTTCGAGTTTGGTACGCCGGAGCAGAAGGTTGCGCTTGGTCGTTCGCTCAAAGGAGATGTGATGAATCTTGCATTGCAAATGTATGGCTGTCGTGTGATTCAGAAAGCGTTAGAATCGGTGGATGAAACAATACAACTAGAAATCTTGAAGGAATTGGAGAGCCAGGTGAGTTGAATCTTGTGTGCAAGAATGCGAGAGTTTGCACGATCGTAGCTCTCGACAATTTCTTGGCGCTATTCCAAAGGTGGGGCATCTTGATGCAGACCTTTCAAACGTAATGTCTACTTATTTTCTGATAGTTCCGCAGTAGCGGGTAACCTACTTGCACGAGAGAATTGATCCACAACCCTCGGAGCCCCTTGTCCCTGAGCTCAAGAATTTCCTCAAGTTCACCGTCACTCCATATC